CAAATGTTGCATTCACTACGACGTTGATAACTGTAAATGCTTCTGATTACCCCATCTGAGTATGTATGAAGATGACTTTGTCATGAAGGTACATATATTTATTGCGTCTTTATTATTATAGGTACTTATATTTTCACAATCCATTAAATGAGGAATTCCTTTAATCCTAATAATACACAGCAATTAACATGAAATGTGTATTTACACACCTGCGTTATACCTATCAGCGTGATTCATATACAAAACCATATTACTAAATGATTATTTAAAAATAATCTTACTATAAAATGATTAAATACTAGATGTTACGATCAACTTAGTCAGCTTTTTTATATAATGGATTGCCTATATCCGTCATATATACTATACATTACATATATATATGTATATATATTTATGTTATTCCTTAAGATCCGTTTAATGATTTAGGCGTAAAAAAGGAACAAACAAACAGACAGAAAGATAGACAGAACCCCTTTTGCATTTATAACATTACTATAGATATTTATAGATCATTTTGTTTACCATTAATTTATTTAGTATTTCTTTAATGACGGCTTCGAACCCAAGCTCTGCTTATCTCGGGACTAAATGGCGCTGTGTATTATCCTGGGTTATTAGTATTTTTATTATTACGTGTATGTGAGCATAATACTTCTTTATTATTTTATATGATAAGGACTACAGTATTATTTATCACACTATCGGTAGTCCCTGCCAATCAAGAAGTTGACCAATCTAATTCATTCCAAGAGAATTCGAACACGTACATAGAACCTTTTAATTGATTCCGCCCTTCAGTCAATCTACCTACTTACCATGATATCTCTGATTTCAGAAAAAAACTCCTTTGTTGTTAAACAAAAAGCCTTGTTTTCTGGCAAGCACGTATATTGTATTATACAATGAAATAATTAGTTGGTTCAGTAACGGGATATTTTTTACATAACTCCAGCTCTTTGTATGTTTGTAATTTAATATTTTTTTTGTAATAAGCCCTCACGTTCTAGTGGGTGGCTGAAAAAGTTGAGTAAGTATTGTTCGTAAATCAAGAAAAAAGTACAATGAGATATCGTTTACAATATGCAAGAGATTTGTTTTTTGTCTGAAATTAGTTAGCAAGTCTACAATTGTCTACGTGAGTTGTGTTTGTTCAGAATCAATCGTGATTTTGTTATCTTGTTATGAAATATTCTAACATCAGATAGAGTAAGATAAGTGTTAATACTTGATGAACTGTCTGACTGGTAAAAAACCTAAAACCTGTACCTAAGTATTCGCTAAACAGATGTTTATTATTTGTATTACGCAAGGATGATAGGACTAGTAGAAAACGTACCTAAGTATTAAGTCATATATAGACGAAAGCTATGTTAAAGAAATAGACTGAAAAGTCGTCTGCGTGGGCCTACATCTCACTCGTTTATTTCAGACGCCAAGCAGCTTTATTTGTAATCTGATTGTGAGCTGTGTGCATTGTGGGAGTTGTAGGGTGCGATTAGGTTTTTAAATTAAGGGATAAGATGTATGACATCTTAGTTCGTAGTTCTCTGGAATGGCAACGAATGAGTAATATTGCGGGTATCACATGATAATTTGATATTCGTGGTGATTTTCATGTATATTTGCGATGATTTCCGTTTACCACCAGGTAGGTATCAGCTTGGTTGCCATTTCAATTATATAAAAAAGAAATGAACGATGGATATATTGAAAAACAAATTTCTTCTTCTAATTGAGAGTACTGTAGCCTACTATGATAACTTAGACTAAAAGTTAATGAGTTCAAATATGACAATTAAAAATAAATATAATAATAATATTGATAGATAATGTATGCAATATTATGCCAAGAGTTGTGTTCACTACGAATTCAAAAGTTGACAATACTTCTGACTACCTCCTTTTGGATAAAGTCGTGAAGGTAAGTAATTTCTTGGTTTATTTTTCTTTTATAGATAATGTCAATACTGCCTACTTTAGTTAATACTGTACTCCAGTTTGTATACGTTTCAAATCTCTATATACATTTGTATAAAATCTCTATATTCTCTATGAAATTAAAAACAATAGCATAAATAGTAGATTTTTTATAAATTTAAACTCAGATGAATTCACTATATTAAATATATATATATATAGATGCGCTAAAATCCTCACAGCGTGCCATCACGATCGACGATTCTAATTATAATTTATCGAGAGAATAATGTACCGAGTAATAATAAAAACTAGCAATCTGTTAATTTCTCGGATTTTTAAAATAATTTACTGTAGTGAATATTTTAAGTGCATAAATAGTAAATTAAAGAAAAAAGGACCTCCCACGACGTGAATGGTCCTAGACCTAAAGATGTTTTGTTACCATTACTTCCAAGCCAATCGTCACATGACGTATCGCCACAAAGAGCACGTCTTTGTTTTAATTTTGTCCAGGTATTTGTAATTTTACAAAAACTATTGTAAGAGTCATTTGACGTAAACAATATCCACTATCCACAATGCTCACCTGCCCTCAAGTAATTCGATAATTCTACCCAACTTAGCAGGGGACTGCGAAGTTTATGACTTTGTCTCGTTATTCTTTGCTGCTACACTCCACATAAAAATATTCTAAATAAAACAAAAGAAAACTTAGGATAAAGGAACCAAGGAAACATAAAAAGAAAAGAAAAAAACATAAATCAATAATATAAATATTGCATTTATTTCAACGAATTCTGCAAATATAATAACTGTCGATAATAATTATAATAATACTATCAGTTTACAAGACTTTCAATCTTTCTCTAGACAAAAACGTCTTAAAATACCAAAGAATATCTCCTCTGGTTGGCACTAGACTTTGATCAAACAACTGTTTTAATAACGTTATTTGAATAACAGTAAATGCAGATCGCAACGTAATTACTTTAAAATTAAATTATACAAATTAAAATTAAAATATTGGAAGTCGTATTGGAGGCAAATTCAATATCATGTGTACATCAATGTACTTGGCGCTAATACATATATCTACATGAAAATAAAACAAAATAGTAATAATAAAACCAAAGAACAAAAATAAATACAAACATAACAAAACAAAATAACAGCAAGCGATATGCAAATGGCATGCTCTCTATATCAAAACATGGTTTGTACGTAGGTATAAAGATCCAGTAAATAACTTAGCATTATATTGTATTTTGTAAGGTGTAGTATTTGCATTTTAAAGATCAATTGTGAGGTTCGACGGTACTAGGGCGAGGTAAAATTTTTAAATAATAAATAAACGAATGGCAACCCGCGGCGCGTGCGCAGAGTTGCCTGCACTACATACAGAAAACGTCGCACGAGCGTATACGAACATTTAAATTTGAAGAAAATATTTGCATATCGCCTAACTCCCCAATCGAGAACCACTCTCATGTAAATTGCGATGGAAGAATGGCAAAAACTGCAATGGGAGCAGACCCCACACAAAAAGTTTTCATTATTATGTAAAACACGACAAACTTCTAATGTTATGTCTGTATGTACTTTTGTCCTCGTCGCTCGTCCCCTCAGCCACGAGCTCATTATAAAACATAGAAGTAAACTAAATAATTAGATATACAGTTATATCACAAGGTTTTAAGATGCCTCTACGAAACAAACAATATATTTACTTATATTTACCTATTAAAGATACCTATCGAAGTAAAATGACGCACAGAGCTGCTGAAGTTGTAACAGCTCTACATTATACCTATAACTAATAGTATACTTGTACACTCTTATCTATTTACAGTGGAGTTCAGAGATAATAATTTACAAAGCGCACGGATCCTAAAAGGCACCTTATTTAAATAGTAATATAGACCAGGCTTCGCTATGACTTTACATAATAACTAACGTTTTAAATTCTCTAAAATATATAATTTGGTTTTCATTACATCCCTACAACAATCGACTCTATATCTAATAGGAGATTTAAATATGAACAACTAGGAAGAATAATATTATGCAACAGATTACTAGTCTAAATCGCTGTGCGGTGTTGGTTTCCAATTCCTACACTGAGTTAAGTAATGAAAAGAAAAAACAGACATTGACAAACAATTTCCGAGAAAGTCGTCTAATTGACGTCATTTAAATAATTGATTATTCATGTGAGGCGAAATGCATGTGCGCCAGATCGGTCCCATTTGATATGCGACGTCCTTCACGCGTCCTAACTCCTACCATTGTTGTGTTTCGTTTGCATTTGAATAGTGGCGGGTTAGAGACGGCCGCCCACCGGCCCGCGGCGGTCCGCCTCTCGCGGCCGTGATGACAACAGCACGCCGCCGCCAAACCGCTCCGCGCCGGCATGCGGCATCGCACCCGCCACCCATAACGCAAAGTGTACTTCACTCACTTCACATCAAATGAGAGCAAACAGCACGCGAAATGAAGAAAAAATAATCTATTTCACACTAATTCAAAGTTATATTATTACTTGAAGATTGAGAAATGTTTTTTACTGTTTCGCTCGGTTGCCACGCTTCGAGCTATATAGGTACTTAGTAATTATTTGAATTACAAAATAATTTCTGAGATTGAATCGGCGTTGTACGTGCCGCTATTAGCTTTCGCATCGGACCGGTCGACTTGACGCATATTTATCAGAAGACATTATTATCTATTACATTCTCTACGACAGATCGTCGCTCAATACAGGAACAATCTATATGATTAAGTAATAATTTTGTGACTGGAATACCAACATACGCAAGTGATTTTATAAACTATTTTACTTTATCTCTAAGCGATATTTACAAAGGACTCACTAGTAGGAAAACAGAGTAACGACCGTCACGGCACGAAATGAGCTTAGCTCGATTAATGTGTAATTGTAGTATTGTTGTCGTCAATAACCAAAGTTGAATACACAATCGAGTCAAACTCATCGCTGCGAGGTTCTACATAATCAGTATCCAGAGTCGCATACCGCTCTATGGGGGTAGGCGACATGGACCGCGGTCAAGTGCACTCACCGTTGCCGGCGAGCTGTGGCCTCAAAAAAGCGCTGTGTAGTTCGCTGCCGATGCCACTCTCGAGTCGCGCCGCCATCTGCATCAGTGCGAGCGTGCTGTCATCACCCGCAACCACGCCGCTCTCCAGCCGGGCGCGCACTGCGGCTATGTGCCCGCGAGTAAACACATGGTCTTGCACTGAGTACTTGTGGCTATATTTGAAATCACACACTCGGCACTCCTCGGGGGGTGCTGCGTCTGACACTTCCGAAAGTCCGGCTGCCAGTCGCGCCTTCTTTTCTTTGGCACGTGCATTTTGGAACCAAACTTGCACTACTCGCTTGGGAAGTCCGATTTCGCGACCGAGCGCCTCGCACTCGGCCATTGTTGGTGTTTTGTAATCACCAAACAAAGATTTCATGATTTTAACTTGTAGTGACGACATCTGAGTACGAAAGCGTTTGCCCGGTGGCCTCGGTGTTTGCTGGCCGGGCAGCGGAGATGTTGGTTCGTCTTCTTCATAGAATTCCATCGTCTCTGATGCAGTGTCTGATCTCTCGTCGGCGTCTGAGCCCGGTCGTGATAGGTCAACAGGTTTGCTGAGATCTAAAGGTATTTCCGATTTACCATGTCTTGAGGTTTCATTCGTATCATTGCTGCCACCATTTTGTTGGGCGGCGGCATGTGCTTGTAACTCACTGACATACCGTTTCATTGACTCTTCACTATACTGTTTGATAAATTTCTCCATGTCTGAGTGAAAAGGCGGGAAAATAGGGGGCAACATGGGAGCCCCCGCTTGCGAAAAATTTTGCTGCCTGTCACTTTGTTGTGAGCCAAAACTAGGTGTAGACTCCGTGCTTAACTCCTCATCCGGTAGAGCATCTACATTAATTTCACCTCTTGCACATTGATCTGCATGTTTTGTACTTAAGTGACTCTCAAGTGCACTTTTTACTTTGAACAAAGCTGGACAAAATGGACACCGTTTATTAATCACTTGTGCATGTGCACGAAACTGTCCTTTTCTCTCACGTGCTCGTGTATTTTGAAACCATACTTGTACCACTCTTTTTTTAAGCCCTACCTCTCGTGCGATATTTTCAAGCATCTTACGGGAAGGGTTTGATTCGATTTGGTATTTTTGGTAGAGATAGTCCAATTGTTCAGGCAAAATTGTAGTCCTTAAGCGTTTATCCTTAGGCTGCTCTCCAGTATCCACCTCTTCGAATTCGTCAAATTTTCTCTTAGCTACTTGTTGATTTAATGCTGCAACTAAAGGGTGTCTCCCCTCATCGCTTCCCAAAGTGGCATTAAGTTGTTGTAGTTGAGCATGTTGTTGCAGTATGCCAAAAGGGGAATCAGGTGGATAAGTTGGAAATAAATTTGGATTCATTATATGAACCAATTGATGTTCTCGCCATAAATCAAATCGAGGGAAGACTAGGTTGCACTTATCACATTGAAAATTTCCATCTTTCTCTTCACGGGGTGTATGAGCGAGAGGCGTAACAGGGGTATGAGGTGTTGGTGGTGCTGGTGATACTGGGTAGTTTGGTGCAGCCGGAGTTGGTGTTCGAGGCGGCGCAGGAGAAACTGGCACATGAGGTGTATGATGCTCAACAGTGCTTGAGTTTGAATCTTCACTGCTTAATGTAGCTGCTACTTGTGCAGCAGCAGCTTGCGCCTGAGCAGATCGTTTGGCATCTTCCTCTTTAAAACAATGTGTTTTTTGATGTCTTATTAACTCATAATATCGTTGGAACACTAATTGGCACTTTTTACATTGGTAATTAAGACCTGGGGTGCGTTGAAATCTATTCGCGTCATCCGTTGCACCTGCAGGCGGTTCAGCAGCTGGTTGGTTTTCATATACCTTTCTCGCCTTCTGTCTAGCATTTTGAAACCATACAACTATCACTCTAGGGCTTAGCCCTAATAGTTTTGAAAGATATTCTAGGTCGTCATCTTTTGGATATGCGTTGTTCTCAAAAAACTCTTGTAAAACTTTTATTTGATAATCAGTGAACCTAGTTCTGTTGGCGCGTTTGCCAGAAGACCCCGAGCTGTTGGATCCGTTCGAGTTGCCCCCGGAAAGTCCGAAATCGGCCGGTCCCCTGCCAGGACTGAGGCTGCGATTTGGGGTCAAAGGTAGGACGTTCGGGGGCGCGGAGTTTGGGGACGTGAAATTAGGATTTAACTTTGGTGGGAGCATTGACGGATGAGGTGGTTGCGGTATGCTCGTAGCTGGTATTGAGTCCAACTGTGACTGAATTAGTGAGTTTAGAGACAAATGTGTCGGCGTCTGTGGTCGAGATATATTATGATGATGATCTGAACTTAAGTTCGGGGCTGGACTTTGAGAGGGAATTTGAGGAAAAATAAAGCTTTTATCCTCCTGATGTCTATCATCATATGAGTTATACTTCTCCTCCATTGTTGGTTCGTCATTTGGCTCAGACTTTACTTCTTGTTGATTCATAGAAGACACATCTTCTATTTTTGTTTTCTTCTCCGGTGGTGGTTTTCCTTCATCAGAACTTGCAGATGAATCTAATGGTGTAACTTTTGCCTCACCAGTCTTTTCGTATTCCTCAAGATTGAGAGTAGTAGATGGAGGGTTGTTGAAATTGTATGGAGAGTCTTTGTTCCGTTGCCTTTCCTTAAACAATGTATTTCGGAACCAATGTTTAATTACCTTAGTTGCGAGGCCGGATTGTTTGGCCATTTTTGCGATTGCCTCATCACTTGGTGAGTTATTAATATCAAAATGTGCTCGCAAAATCTTCAATTGCTCATCTGTAATACGCGTGCGAGCTCTCTTCTGTCCCGCTGCATTTGCCTGTGAACAAAATAAATACATATAACATAAACCACTTAGATGAAATATACAGATTCCATTACCAGAATTAATTATTAGTTAAAGTATACTTAAACTATATCTCGAAATAAAAAGTTTAAACGATCGGTACTGTTTATGTATGGCGATTTACGAGTCGGTATCAGCAGGTAAGTAGAAATAATAAGAAGTATTTAATAATACTGGAACCCTACTGCAACAATAGAGCCTCTGTTGCTTTGTGCAAACAGATAGCAAACGTTATACCCACGTTCTTATCTCACAATGCCTTGTAGATATCCTTCGTACGATTGACTTACATTTTAACTGACAAAATATTAATCAAAGCTGCGCTTCATATATGATATATGTTAAGTAAATAATATTTATGTTGGTATATGTAGTTAACAAGGATACGTCAGTATTACAAAATGATAGATTTGCAAGGGAAAAATAACTTATAGCAAATATACATGAAAATATTTATCAATTACTACGAATAATTTACTAAAAATACTTTTTCTTCTCAGGCTTTCAACAGAAAAAAGTAATATCCGTAATTTCATGTTAACAGACTTACAGACTTCTAAAATTCAATGGCATAAAAACCTTTCTTTTTTATAAATAATGTACTTATTTTTAAATCTGGCGCAAAAATATAATTATGTGTATAACATCGTACAATCAGTAACAAAAATTTTAATAGAAAATATATCGGGAAAAGGACTTTAAAAGCTTGATATAAAAAATATGTTTTTTTTTTAAATCAGATGTCATAATGAGAGAAGAAAGAAAATTGTAATTGAATTGGTTTGTGAAATATGTTATAATAAAAAAATATGAATTACTTATTTGTAATTTCTTATTCTAGTCTGCCAGAAGACCTATAGTTCAATTACAATTTTTAATTATGATCTCGCGCCAGGTTTTAATATAAGCTCGCAGGTATTATAATAAGAGTCGATTATCTTTTTAAACATGCAATAATCAAGTATCGAAAATACTTAAAAAAAAATGGTATACATAAATTCACAACTTTGATAAATAACCTAATTAGCAAAGTTTTTACAGTTTCACTAATTAAATACGATTGAAGCTAAGGTTTGGATAATTAAAAAAATTTTCTTATAAAACTTATAAGGGATATTTTTGTCGATAAAATTATGATTATGATACTGATATTCATTATTACAGTACAGGATATATGGATGGATACATAATGATATACCTATATATGTCGATTCTGATTAGGCTTAAAATATATATACATATATTAGTGATATAAAGAAATAAATTGCGCAAATATTGTAAAGAATTAATTATAATAAACAATTAACAAACACTTACACATTACAAAAACGTATGGCGTAAGTTTTTGTTTAAACGGTTCTTACGACTAAGACACTAGACTAAGAAAATTCTAGAAAAGAAAGTAGTGTAGGTATGTGTAATCTATTCTTACTTGATCACCATATGAAAACATGTAATTAATCATTTAAAATACAGACACTTGAATTACATCTGAGCAAGAGAGATCATGTTGAAATAGTAGGGTCATGCTCTATGTGAAGTGGTTTGTGTAGTGAAACAATAACAGATATTTTAAAGGGATTGTATAAGCATCGATCTTATTATTAATTATTTTGTTAGCACTATGTGTCTACTATCTACTAACTAGATACTTTTAGAAGCTAAAACTAACCTGTTGTTGCTGCTGCAAGAGCTGTTGTTGTTTCATCTGTGCATCATGAGCGAAGGGCATCGCGTCGAAGGGCGGTGGAGGCAGCATGAGAGGCACCAGTGGCGGCTGAAGATTCATCGCCGCTAGTGCACCCACATTCAGTCCCAGCGGCAATCCCAGAGATAGCATTTGGGCTACCATTGGATGAAGTTGGCCCAATTGCTGCTGCAGTTGCAACATATTCAATGCTGCCTGCATCTCCTGTACCTGAGCTGCCAATATAGCACCAGCTTGAGCCTCACCAGATGCATTTCCGTTCTCATTGAAGTTTCCAGCGCCATCGCCACGTGGCGATGACGATCTTTCGTCCTGTGGTGCTGGTGATGCTGCACGCGGCGAGTTTGGTGCGCCTGATTTCCTTTCATACTCTGATTTGAATTGTTCAGCGAACTGCTCTAAAAACTCCAAGGGAACTTTATCTTTATGCACTTCCTCACAATGAGTCTTTAACACGAACACACTAGAAAACTCCTTATTACAATGTTGACATGTAGATTTCGTTTCACCATCCGGGGGTTTCTCTTCAGGCGGTGGCGGAGGTGGACTCGGCGCCCGCGCCATTTCCCGTTCTTCTTGCAATTTTCGCCGCTGATTCTCATTATATTGCATGACGAGATCGAAGCCAAAAGTTTCTAATAATTGTTTATACATTTGCGAGTTACGTTTGGGCGGGTTGCCCTTGGCGACCATCTCGTCAAGCGCAGCTGCTTCTGCGTCACCTAGCGGCGAGTGCGCCCGCGCATCGCCAAACGGGCATAAGGTCGCGCGATGTGCGTCGAGTAGCTCCCCAGTAGGAAATGACGCGTGGCAGCGTTCGCACGAGGCGCTACCTGCGCGCGGGGAACGTGGGCTACCTGGCCGCGCGGGGGGTGAGGAACGCGGGCCCCCACTGCTAGTAGACGAAGGGGATGTATTTTTCGGCGACAATACGTCTTGTAAAATTTTGGCGGGGTCGTTTCTGTCTGGTTGCTCTACTAAAGGCCGTGTCAAATCCACGTGTCCGGCAGCGGCGAGCTCCTGTAACTTGCCGGCTCGTGTTTGATGTAATACAGACCGCATGTGTATGTCAAGCGTGCTACCTTGTGTATAAGCTACTTTGCAAATATTGCATTTGTATCGTTTTCGATCATCTTCTTCGCTTGAAGTACTCTTGGGTGTGAGAGTTAAGTTAGAGGGCGCGGACCCTGCTCCAGGCGATACCGGAGGGTTGTTATTATTCTGTTGTTCTTGCATAGCCCGCTTCAATTTGTGTAAATGACTAACACTGTTATAATGGACCAATAAGATATTCTTCTGTGTAAAAGATTCTTTACATACGTCACATTTGAATGGTCTATTAGGGTCAAGATATTTCTCCATTGGGTATGTGAGTTTTTCGCCTTTTCTATGTAAAAGTGTTTTATTATGCGCTGTTAGATATGATTGGCGGGTAAAAGCCACTTTACATCGGTGGCATTTGTATTTTCGATTAGGGTCATTATAAGAATCTTCAGCCATAGCTTGCGAATTCAAATAGTCCTCTAAAAATTGTTGATCTTTGTATATAATTGAATCGTCTGAATTTTCAGCATCATTGTGTCCAGATTCATCAGCAACTGTAGCACTGGAATCTCTGTCCTCTAAATCAGCTAATTCATCATCTGGAGTTCTTAAAGCTTCTTTTCGTAACAGCTCTGCAGTTGCAGCATCCAAAGCTGTACCTTGGTTAGATTGTAACAAAGGATTTGATGCCAAGCTACGTTTAAAAGCATTAAGTTCTTCTTCAGATAGTTCAGAATGCGAGGTTTCTACGTGCTTCTGTAGAGCAAGTACAGACCTAAAGCTTCTTCCACATAGTACACATTTCGTAGCGTCGCGTATTACATGGTATTGTGAATGCAGTTGTAACTTTTCTATAGTTTTGAAAGCTAAACTACATTGATTACAACGGTACTTGTATACATGTTTCTCCGATACTGACATGTTTGCGATGGAGTTACGAGCATGTGCTTCCCTAAAGTGATTTTGAAGCGCATGAGCAGTGTCAAAATACCGATTGCACCCTTTTTTCCAGCATACGTATCCAGGACCCTGAGGTGTTTGTTTCAATTCTAGATGGCCGGATTCATTTTGGTGGTGACATAATTCATCAACATTACGAAAAGTACGATTACATGCTAAGCATCGCTCAGTTTCACCATCTGCACTGCCTTCAGAACGCGGCGATGAAATCTCACGATCTTCATCCCCTTGTCTTGTGTCATCTCTTTGTGGTTGAGTTCCACCGTTTAGCCAGTGACTTTGATCGACAAGTAATAATAGTCGTTGCAAACCCTCCGAGTTTACTGAATGTATTTGCATTACATGTCGTTCAAGGGCCGTTCGTTCCTTAAATGCATCTTGACAAAGCGGGCAGATGAAATGTCGAGCTGTATCGCTATGTATGGAAGTTACGTGGGCATGTAAACGAGCCTCACTACTGCAACTAAAGTTGCAGTAAGGACATGCGTGTGGTCCTGGCGTTTCGCGCTCTTCGTCTCTTTCATTCGAGCTTTGTTGACTTTGTTGTTGAGATTGTTGTGGTGGCGGCTGTTGTTGCTGCTGCTGCTGTTGTTGTTGTTGTTGCTCTAAAAATCTCAACATTTTCTGTTCTGGTGTCAATTCAGGTTTCTGATCTATTTGTTCTTTATTATCTGTCAACAAAACAAAAAGAAGCTATAAATTACTGATGTATTATTTACATCATTTATTTATATAGATATAAAAATCTTTAAATATATTTTAATGATTTATAACCTACTTAATCTTACATAAAGAGTTGAATTTGATTTATACTAGAGATTAAATTATATAGAACACTAATTCACATCTGTAAAGTGGTATATTAGAAATAGTACATTAATAATTTTAACATTTTATCGAACCTTACACTACGACAATCAATACAGGAATGGATATAGATTGAAGCCATATACATTGTGAACTTACGTCTACGTGAGATTTATCTACAAAAAAGATTATTTCTATAAATGAGCTCTCCATTGTTCGGTGCTAACGTTTGTTACTTTTCTGAATTGAAGTTAAAAATAAAATTCTTCTCTTTTATATTATTAGTAGGACTCGTTTTGTTTGCGACGTCCCAACAAGACAAAGGTATCGGCTCTATCCATCCCGTACGCACACACGTACAGTTGTATTAATGTTAACGTAACAAGTATATTGTAATTTTGCACACAAAGGAGATACAGGACGAGCAAACAATCATTGTTCATTATTACAAAAGGTTTCGAATATTTCGTTTCGCATCGGATCAAATGCATTTGGGAGAGTATGTGACTGTAGGTGTGAGAGAGACAGATGTACTGATATGTGAATGCAATTATTATTTGACCAGGGATAAGTCGGCGGCAGCGTGTGAAAGACGCTGGCCTGCATTGTTTACGCTCAAATAAGAAAGGTGAAAGAAACAGTTGATTTGGGGGAGCGCGCAGATTCGCTAATGTACTGTTACAATTATACCTTATTATTTAGAAAATTACTGACAATTCATCTACCCCTTGTTATATGTATGAAGCACTACCAAGAAATTTAAGGCCAGAGGACTTCAAAAACCACATTCATATGTATTTCTTATATTCTTTATATTTGGAAATCATAATCTGTCTTTGAATAATCAAACAAAATCAAAACAATAACTATTAAAATTTTGGATTAATATAAACAGTCTACTATTTTTAAAATAATAAAGAAGTCATAGCTTGCCAAATATGTTCTTGTTAATAGTTAACAAGAACATATTTGGCAATTATAATAATTAATTTAACCAATATTCAGAAAATGAACTAAAACAAAACCAAGAAATTTCAAAGCTTAGATAAATTAAAAATTATGTCGCATGATAAATTATAAAAGTGGAAAGTTTTCTATCTCAGAGATCAATAGCACCCGATTATGCTTAGCTTAGTTTAAGACTGGATGTAAATATGTAACTGCAAAATAACATTCGAATAACGATGTATCTAGTATACATTAGATCAAACAACCAACAAAAAAATAATCAATTTCTTTTGAATTAACATTATATTTGAATTTTATATTTGTATAGAGCTATCGACTCAAATAATAAATTATGGTGAGGTATCGTTATAACTATTACCTATAGGTATATTTTTTTAAAGTGATTAAATAGATGTACCTATATGAAGTGGCTAATAATAATAACAACGACACTTATTATTATGACACCAGAAACAAGTAAGAACAAGCATGTATGAGAATTGTTCGCAATAAAAACCATCTGCACAATATCAATAAGAGAGGGGTTGATTTGTCAATTAATTAAAACACGAAATTATCTCACAGTCCAGCAGACTTGAAACCAGTCGGCCCCTGTTTGGAACCCGTTCTATAGTTTTAACAGTTAAAACCGTTACAACTAATGAAAGGGAGGGGGATAAATAAATCCGTATAAATAATAATAATCATAACGCAACTGACCCTAATTTTGGAGTGACCAGTGAATGTAATTATTTATGGAGAGTAGTCGTCCCACCGTCTGGTGGAACATAGAACAATGGCCAGGTAAAGGGACCTCGCACAAATAAGATCTTCGACGCTTTTTGTCAATGGACAAAGGGTCTTTTCTAAGGAAACACCACATCGTTATAGCGTCGTAAAGTAGGTATTGTTGAGTGTGAGTTTTGTTTTGCAAGATTTAGGCCAGGATTTTACAGCGTGGCGTCTGGAATACAATGGACTCTGAATATTTTACTGTCTTAAGGCTCGCACATTGCGACTGGTATTGCGTGTTATAAGACCATATTGTATTTGGAGAATTAAGCTTCTGTGATAAGTAAATACATCGCTATCAGATTGTTACCTTTAACAGTTAATGTTAGGTAGAAATGTAAAAGAATAGTTGAAAGTAAGTAGATTGCATCATAATTGGAAAGATGTTTTAGCGACATACATTGTGTTACTTATAGTCACGCCTTTTTTTATTTATAATAACTTAACTGTATCCGAGGTGCTGCCAGCGAAAAACTCAACAAAAAGTTTATCTGCACAAATTATCGCATTTAAAATATTAGTAGGACAGGTATGCAGTAACTATATTGAAATATACAATGATTATCAATTTGTAAAGTTTGAAATAGATGCACTATTGGATACATTATTTAGCACAGTAGGTATAGTCCAGGTGTACTCTAACCTAGTTTTATTAGTAGGTACTTTAAATTAAATAAATATTTGACAACGGCATTACATCTTGCTCAAGTGAAGCTTGATTTTCAAACCTGTTTCTTTTATAGCTACTTAAGTTGAATTAAAGGCGAGGATGAGCCGAGCTGGTGAATTAATAAACAAGTAGCAAAAACTCTGACAGACACAAAAGATGTCGCGTATCGGAATGCAAGCGAATGTTTTTTTTAACAGTACAGTTCTCGCGTTTCATTTTTAATGGAGTCTTATCTTATATCAAAATGAACCTAAACCTCTCCAAAATATCCGAAAATATCTTATATTTTTAACCAGCTCACTCAATAAGGTGAAAATAAGTAATAAGCATAAACATGAGGTGCACAATGGCGTAAGCCGGATTTCTTTCGCCTCCACATTTCTCTCGGAGTTTATCGTATTTCACTGTGGCTATAAACATGCGACGGGCGATGCGGCCGGCGCAGCGACATTGTAAGATGATGTAGCTGCCTCATCACAAGAAGGCAATCATCCTTAATGCGCGACGGCCACATACGTAATACGAGTCATTGTCCCGTGTGCGGTACTTATGGAAAATTCGCGTTCTCAATTCAAATCTTCATTCCGTCTCCCTCGCTCGCGGGGCGGAGCCGTCTCCGACCAATGACGGCATCCGACTCAGGCGACACCGTGTAAGGCGTACGTTATTAAAGAAACCTGTTCTAATGTTGCGCGCTTTAAATTAAATTTTGTCCGTGTGTAATTATCTCATTATTGTGATTACGAATTCTCCGCTAAATACTCAACGCTCAAAATGGAGATTGCTGGTGGATTGCATGCGGTGTGATGGTCACGCAGCGAGTGATAATTAAACTTTCGATGGCGAACGGTAAATGTGAGAAACTTACGTGTCAATATTAATTTTATATCAATGAAATTAACTTAAAACTAATAGTAAGTTCGTTATTACAATCCACAGAATGAGGTTCTGTTTGTAAAAAACACAGAATAAAATTGATTAAGGAACGAATTGGTTTAAATTGGAAACCGATAGTGACGTTTCGAAATCACATTCATAAGTCGATTTTGTATTACTTTATCGATACGAACTGCGGTAATGGTTTTGGTTGAATTAATTTTAATGGGATTTTTACGCTTTATAGAATAAAATGTTATGAAATGTGTTTAGCACGAGAGTAATAAATAATATTATAAGTATGTAAGTACCTACTACATAATTTTTTCATTTATATTTGTAAAAAATATTTTGTATGAAAACGCCATCTATTGGAATCCCTAAAAATAACTGAGTACCTAATGCATAAATGTTAGGAAATATTACTAGACTTATTGGTTATTCTCTACCTTGTCTGTTATTTATTTAAGCTAATTATAATTAAATTTTACGAAGACAGCCAGGAAGTTGGTGAAAAGTAACAATAGTAGGTACCTACTACCTACAGTCACGGTTCGAGAATTGTTATCTAACAAATGGCAATTTCCTTATTACCACTCTAGTGAACATGAAAAGACAAACATTGTTTAAAAAGTGCTGGAAAAGACATTAATGTAATTGCTTTAGGTTTCTATTCAAAGTAGGCTGGGTGTCTATGTACTAATTACTCACCGTTTTCTTGTTGTTCAAACGGACTTTGTAAATCCGTTGGTTGTGGGATGACCTGGAAGAGTTCGGCGACATCAGGCGTTGGGTCTTTTCCTTCAGAACGTCTTTGGAGTTGGTGAATTTGTTCCATCTGTAGATGTTTTACAGAACGAACATGTTGTAAAAGTGGCAGTCGATGAGGAGCACCAAAGCCACATAGTGCACAACGATATACCCTCGGTCGTTCGCGAGGAATCCTGGAGGCACACTCTCGAAGATGTCTCAGGAGAAGAGCAGCGGCTTCATGCCTCGCTCCAGCCGCATGTAGTTGTAATTTGTGTGCTGAGTTTGTATAGTAATCACAAGCGCAACATCTCACTTGGACTCCTCCAACACCAGCACCTCCAGTTCCAACTCCACCACAAAACTTGAGTTTCCATTCATTTCTCGGTCCACCTTCTTTCACGTGGTTCACGTGCTGTAATCTCTGTAAGTGCTTATCAGTTTTACAATGCAACTGGAAATTGGCTTTCAAGTTCGTTTTATAAGTGCATAATTTGCATACGTAATGGCCAGCAACGAGTGCCAAGATCTCTTGCTCTCTTATTTTTGTACGATCTTGGGCTAAATGATGGCCAAGTGCTTCTAATGAATCTGTAGAGAAACAGTTACATATACAACAATGAAATGTCCTTTCTGGTTCAGGGTCTGCAGGTTCTGGTGGTGGTTCCATGGCTTCAGGGTTTAAACCGACATCTAGATGGGCACCTAATTCAGGAGGAGAAGGTCCAGGTCCTCCGGTCATAAGTTGAATCATAAGAGCTTGATTATAAGCCATGTCTGCTAATGCAGCTTCTGGATTTGGAGGAGGAGCGTCATTGCTGTGAAAATGTAGTAAACTCTCTAGTTGCTGTTGACTTTGTTGTCTGTGATGTAAAGCAGATAAAGTTTGCATATGTTTCACATTTTGTTGTAATACAAGCATATTATGGGTATGCTTTTCGGATGTCATGTGTATTCTAAGATTTCGTGCTACATTTGTCTCATAATTGCAAACGTCACAACGGAATGTAGGCTTTGGCTTTTGCCCCAAAGGCGAGTGGTGTGGAAGTGGTGGTTTATGAACACCCGGAGGAGTGTGTTGAGGGGCTGGAGGTAAACTACCTTCTCCAGGATTGCCACCATTTTGTAATTCTTGCATGTTATTTAAATGCTTATCGGACTGCATATGAATGCTGAGGTTCCCTTTTGTAGTTGTGGAGTAATTACATACTTCACATCTATAGGGTTTGTATCCACAGGTATAAGTTTCACCACGAGCAAGCCTTGGATGTGGCTGGCCAGCTATACAATAAATACAACTGGTCTCGGCTTCTGGGTGCTTTTCTTTCATATGTATCTCTAAGGTTTCTTGGTATTTGTAATGCCAATTGCATTTGGGACATTTAAGTGTCTTACAGGAATTTCTACTGTGCATGCCAGCTAACGGTCCTCCTAATCTTCCTGAATTTAAAATCAGTTCACATTTAGGGCAGTCGGCACCAGATGGTCTTCCACCTAAATGATCAGGGCATACACCTATCGTAGTTCCAGAAAGGAAAGCTGGTGGTGTTGCTTGAAATGGTGGGGAAGAATTCGGACTTACACGCTGTTGAACAGACGCATTTATTGTATGTGGATGAGCCACGGAGATCAAGGAATGTTGTGGAACTAAAGACTCGGCAATTGACCTAGGTGGTCTCCACGTTGTTGGACTCGGTCTTCTATCGTCACAAGTACCATTAGGCAACATCGAGTCGTTATCTCTATCTGGAGTCATCATCATGTCCGGTCGTTTGTCTATAGATGGACTTGACAATTCTGATACGTTGGTAGGACTCCCTGATGCGGAAACCCTTGGCGGTGCTGCTGCACCTACAGGTTCTAAAAATGAGACTAGTGGTTCTTTATCCTTTCCCACACATTGAATAATTGCAGAAGCATTCTCTCTTGATAAAGCGTCTCTCTCAGAATCAAGTAACGATAAACTATGGTCCGATTGCGCATGTGCCACAAAAGATTTAGCATAGCCAAAACTCAATTTACATATAAAACACATAAGGATCGGTTTGACAGGTACGCTGACAGGACATTCAGCGGGCGGGGATGGCGGTCTCGGTGCATCTTTTCCTCCACGAAAACTAAACACTCGATAACTATGCATCACAGGTGCATCGGGTCTCGCCCGAGCTCTTTCGGCTGCCAGTCTTCCATATAGTGCGCCGTATAAAGACGGATTTCTTGATACGTAGAATGCGCTTGCAATTTGAGGAAACTCGAGTTGCTTTTCAACAATATTGCTATCTCGGCTGTCGACAATGCACCCGGGCTCTATTTTGGGCAAGTCTGGTATACTTGTCTCGCCCTCAGATAGCTCAGGATCCTCGATGATGTAAGCAGATCCATCGGGGTTGTAGACGATTTTACCGTCGAACCTTTCAACATCGGAGGAGAGCGGCGGAGAATCTCGACGTGAGGTTAGATCGACGGCATCCGGTGCTGCGGGAGGTGAGGTGGGTGCAGGAGCGGAGGAGGGGGCCGGCGTTGGTGCCGCCGGTGCCGCGGGTACATTGCGCGGTTCCTCTTCGGGGCTCATGTCGCCGTCGTCGTCGTCGGGCTCGAGCGCGGCTGAACTCTGCGGGTCGTCGCGCTTGCGGCGCCGCTTGCGCTCCGGAGGCGGGCCGCTAGCGGGGCCGCCGGGCTGCAGCGGCGTGGGCATGGCGCCGGGCGTCAAGGGCCGGCATCACATGCTCTCCTGCAACAAAAAATATATTTAAAATTAGAAACGTGCCTATATGTAGTGTAGGTAACTAAACGATAACTTGAATCTACTCAATTCACAGATAACATCGATTACCTACTAATCCTATCAATATGCCGCTAACAATATGTGTATTCAATCGGCTATTTCTCACGGGCCAGTTTCACCCAGTTGATCGAAGGTAACTATTGAATGGATTTGTATCCTCATACCGGAAGTGGGTGTGGCGATCGTTTAGTTACATGTCGTACTTACGTTTTGTTTTCGTATTTAGTATTATATTATTTGTAATAGATTTTTCATTAAATATCCATGTTCAGTTATTGAATAATAAACGATATCAGTTATTCCCACGATTGAGAGCCTAAACTGTTAGTATATAGGTATGGATGTTGCGTCTCAAATTAAAATACATAATAATCATTGCTTATCTAACTGTTATTTGCGCAAACAACTACGATCATTTATCCAAATGACAGCTGTCACCGCTGTCAATACTGACACATTTACAATTAAGCAACCAACATATTTGGAACTTGACAAACATAGTATTTTCCACTATATAATCAATTTTCATTTCATTATACACTGTATTTATATAGTCACAAGGTCTACACGCGTATTTTTTGTTATATTTTATTTCAATTTGATAAGTAAACGGGTAATCTAGAATAAAAATTCGTTAAAACGCGAGATTAAGCCGTCATCTGCGTTATCTGCTCTTATCAAAGATACATATCCAACAAATATCTAACGAGGACTATGTACAATAATATATTTATTTACGTGACAGCACGGAGATAATCGTAAGAATCACATGACACAAATGATTAGATCATTTAAAGTAGGTAAAAATAATATTTATATGATTAGATCGAATGTAATGTTTAATTGGAAAAATATATATATAATAAGGCAAAAGATAAAGGAATTAGATGAAATTCAAGTACCCTTAATAATACTATACAGGTAATATGTTATTACGTGGGGTAGGTAGTAATGGGGTATTAGAATTCAGTTGAGACTTCGACAGTAAAATTGTTACTTTTTATTGAAATTAAGAAAACTTTACAGCAGCCCAATATGTCATACCAAAAATTATACCTAAGAATCTAAATTCTTGATTGAGATCAACTGCCTTTTTTCACCTCTAAACCGATAAATATCTTACAAAGCATGCTGCTTGGTGGCTGTAGTAGAAAATACATAACTTGTGTGCTTGAAAAACTTTGGACAGTGTGTAATTATAAGTATTTCCCTTTTTGTTCATAGACGACATATTAATATTTAATCAATTTGACTAATTCATTAGTTGGACAATTCATTAATCACGCTGATTAACGAGTAAACACCGGACGCATTGATAATAATATAAAATTATACTAAAATTAACAACTATTTGCAACCTTAACAGGATGTGGTCGTTACTGATAAAGTTTAAACTGAAATTAGATATAGTAATTTCACGTGACCTTGCCGATTGGGATTCCGTGTTTACAATTAAAAATAATATCCCTCTACTGCGAGTGTCTACTACAGCTCTGTCAGTAACATGCATGCAGCATTTCAGGTTATTTATGTTAATTCTATTTATATCTACATATTTAATTAAATTCGTTAATAACTATTTCTAAACTAAAATTATATATAATTTATAGTATATTTAGTACTTATTATTCCAAAAAAGGGTTTTAAAAGCCTTTCAAACTGTTATTTTATAGTGCAGTGATTATTAAACTGTAGGTAACTTAATAGAACCTGACGGAGCCACAGTAAACTAAGTAACAATCAATGTATTTTTTTTTAAATAGTACAATTGTACTGTCCAAAATCGTGAAATAATTAAAAACGTGAAATAGTGTTGTAATTAGATACGGATCCCTCTGTCAGTAAATTTATTTGCAATTGATTGATTTTTTTCTGTAATTTATATGTGTCAGCCGCACCTATATGTTTACTCTTTCAACGGTTGATGGGCCCTTAAATTTTTTTATGTGATAAATTATATCAAGGTGCTAATGTAAATATTTGCCAGGACGACTGTTATTTAGTATGAAAGAATTTCCTTGTTCTACAAAAGAGTCCGTTAATAAACACGTTATAACCACATTTACAACGTAACTGATAACTGTTTAGATTACTTTTTGTAAAATCCCATCAACGTTTATTGGAAATCAGTTTAAAATAATCATACACACATACTGATTGATGTGTGTGTATGTTAAAATGTAGGCACGTCTGTGAATACCAACAAGAAACGTTATCTATAAACATATAATACGCCGAAAGATATAATCTAACAAGATTACAATTTTTTTAACAATTTAACTACGCCGCTGATATTTCGCAATATCTCTAAGATTACAAATGAGATTTTTCTAAAGCAAACATCAAAAAAAGATGGTTCTTTTTAGGTTTAAATAACGATTGATAAGGTAAGTAAGGGAAGATAAGTAAGAGAAATGATGTTACTAATTGTATCTGTTCTGAAAATGGATGTAAAATCATATAGGTACTCGTAGTTCTACAGAATAATTTACCTATTAGGTATACTAATCCTTAAAATTAATGTTGTGAAATCTCTATTTAAGATTGCTTCCTTATAAATTATTCTTCGAAAATCTAATTAAAAGTGGACTGTAATAATAATCTAAGGGCATATATGCAAGATACGGAAAATGACGCTATTATACAGTTATACAGTTTTTTGCTTTTTAACTGTTACTTCCTGATACTACATACTACTACATTCTACATATAATTTTTAGGCTTTAGACTCATTAAAGAAAACCCCCATACTATAACATTGTGTTTAAGTTATATTCTTTTATGAAATAATTACAAATAAAACCGATAATAATAGTTACGAATGGTGGTGACAAAATTAAAAAATCCCAATTACTACAGTATAATTATTGTGTTTCTCCTCTGGTGTGCAATTTGTAGATAATTTCGTTGTGCTAATGTGCATGGAAATTATGCAAAGAACCGGTAATTATAGTCGAGGTGAATGATCTGTAATGCTATAATTTGTTTTATATTATATTTTCTGCGTGTACAAGTCACTGGTATGTATGTAGAACTGTGGGGGGCCTGATGGCGGTGGTATCTATTATCTATATACCGATTTTGTATAGGAGACTCTGTGTAATATAGTAAAAACAACAACAAAACTAGACTGTATACGAGTATATTACAGAAGTAGTTAGTCATTAATAATAGTAGGTATCGTGAACCTATATACGAAGAAAGCTGTGTCTAATACAAACAATGATGATATATATGTTGGAACCACAACACCAACACAGCCACTGTATAAAAATTGTTAAAAATGTAAAATAGCAATATAGCAATATAAATAGCAAAAAATTTCAATCGCTACTATTAATGAAGGTATTGAAGTAAAAAAATACGTAATAAAAATTCAAACAGATATTATGAGTGTTTTTATATTAAATTAGTGGTTGTATGGTAGGATGGTAGGGTTGGATAGATATTTACTGAAATAAAACTGTAATATTATAAGTTGGGTGAATCTACTGTGTCTGTAATTTATGTTTTGCAAGTGGCACTCAATGATGCTAAATTTTTAATGTGGGTACACGTGCAGAGATTCCCATCATTACAATCCGTGTTGTCAATTTCCACCAATACCCCGATGTTTGCAGCACAACTAATTTCCGATAAACTCACACAAATAAACATAATACGTAGTTACGTTTGAGTGCAAATTACACACACATGAGTGTGTGAGCGTGAGAAAACTACATACAGAGGAAATTATGTCGAGTGTGTGCAGTTCACTAACGCAATTTGCACATACAGTGTACGTACATTAAACGCACACATACCCTGCGCACGCGCACATTCACGCTGCCCGCATCATCCTAGTCTTCTACAATAGTTATCAAGTCCGTCATAATGAAGATGCGCGCTTTTCAATTCATTAATGAGGCTCCCACAATGTTATTGATACGATGATAGAAACGAATGAATGTTGCTTTTGTCAATGTCCAATTTACGAACAGTAATCTGCATGATCACCCGGCTAATCCAACTTGTTTATTTAAAGAGAAAGCCAATCAATAATAATTTTCAAGACTTGGTAACAGTTAAGAAATAATGTTATTATAATAATACAAAACTGCAAAATTCATATAGAGATTTCAATAAAAGGAAATCTTTAATTTATCAAGAAATAACATTGATCTAGTGGATAATTATTAGAACTAGAATATCGTGAGTCCCGAGTCACTTTCAAATAAGAATTTATTGTAGGTTAGAACTTGTGACATTTGCAGAACAAACTATTTTCTTTATAACGATTAGAAGTAGGTTCTTTAAGTATACGTAAATATTTGTTAATACACCAAATATTATATTGGCTTTGAAATAATCATAAAAATTCTATCAGGTAAACCGATAGAATCTATATCCGCACGTTGAAAGTCAAGATATTGGTTTGACCGTTCAGGCCAATAAGCATGTCGGCCAAAATGGATCCAAAAGTAAACAGGGAATCTGTGAGAGCTCGAGATGAATCAGTAACGAGAGACGCGGTAAACTACGTCCATATTAATAATCGTGGGTTATTACGCAGGCCCTCATTAGGTCGGCGGCCGCTCGCCCCCACAAAACCGCAGAACACTGCTAAATAATTACCCCCAGACTGCTTTCTTCACGAAACCATCGTAAAAGCACATTAAACAACATCAACTAAGTCGGCGTGAGGAATTACAATAAATAAGGTATTAAGCCGGCGTTGTCAGGCACCGTACCGAAAATGTCGAAAAGCGATTAATGGAAATAAAATTGAGCGAAGGCTGAGAGAACGATTTACTTAATACATTGATAATAAGGGGAGGGAATGTATGTAAAATGTTGTACGTAATGGAGGTAGCCTCGTTAGACGTGGGAACGTCTGAGCGGAGGCGAACTTGACTCGTACATGGTAAGGA